TGTGAAAATGTTATAATATTTCAGCAAAATATACTGATCGTACCACACTTTTTATTAAATGATTGCAGACGTAGCGGTGTATGAGAAACTTCTTTTATTAAAAAAAACGTTTTGATGCTTTTTTCATCTAAGAAGGTTATTATCCTCACATTTGGATTGTCTTACTCTTTTCACCACTAGAAATGCAACGATCAATCGATTTTACTAATAACCTTACTTTAATTCATCACTGTTATCGATTTCACTATTAACCTTATTTTAATTAGTCACTGCTAATTACTCATAAAGGCTCAACACCGAGTTTCTGCATTGAACAAAACAGGTGCAGCTAAAGAAAGTAATGCCAACTGCACAGTTTAAAGTTTTAAGCTTGTACACCAAGGATAATATGCACACACACTGGATTAGCTATGTCTGACTTTTAACTAATAATGCAAGTTTGTGATTTCTATTCTTGCACACATATTGGGAGTGATGTGCAAAAGATGTGCACAAGGCACAACATGTTCACTCTTTCCAGATGCACCTAGGTAAACTTGAAAAAATGGTGCAAGCGCACCGTGGGTCATGTCACACACGTACACATTTCTACTGCAAAGAGAATAAAAATATAAAAATGAAAATACCAAACAAGTTCATAATATAGTTGATCAAAATTGCCTTTCAAACAGAGGTTCAGCACCCTTTGACTACATTTGTTCTCTTGAAAAAGGGAAATACTTAGCTAATATAGTGCTTAGATTTACCTTAGACAAATACCATTTTTATTTTATTTATATTCTTATTTTTATTTACTCATTTTTCTGTCATTTTTTTCAGTGTAAAATTATTACTTATGTTTAAACGTCAACAACTTTTTTTTTTTTTTACTTATTTTTAAGTCCAAAGACAAGTGGACTATTGTTTGTTTTTATTATTATTTTGAGCTGTATGATTTAGTTACTGAGCAGCAAAAAAAAAAAAACACTTTAAAATTTTTAGTTTTAGAGTTTTCATGAGATTTACTAAATTAGTAGTGTTTTGAAATTAATGAATGCATAACGACTGTAATAACCGTGAAACTGAGATTATTCCTCAGACTATAACCCTACAACCTAAATCTATAATCGTTGCATCCCTATTCATCATGATACCACAATACAATTTTTTCTCTAGATTGTCTTTCTGATCTATTTGAGTACATACAGAGAGAAAACATGTGCGATAAAGCCGAAAACTAACAAATCAAACGAATCAAGTAATCAAAATAATCTGCAAATTGAATAATATCACACAGTTTATTTTTACCAAATAATAGCAAAGCATTAATACTATTTTACAATTTTTTAAACTACCACTGTCGAAAATGAGGTATTATCATATCATTTTGTCAACACAGATCCATGCTGTAATAATAATAAACAACTATGTGACATTAACCTAAAACTGAAGGCCACCCTGACACATAAATAGTCTCCAGCCACTAAGCCAGTCTCGGCCGAAGAGCCCACTTCATCTTCAGACACAAAGCTCTGTGATTAGAATTTGGTCCTGAAAAAAGGAGACACAGAAAGAGAGGGAGAGCGAGCAGTATGTGTCGTGAAGTGTTGCTATTACCGTCTCCATGGGCAACTAAAGAGGAATCCTGCCAATTCTGTGAGTAGGTTGTGTCTGGGAGGGAAGCGAAAGCACAATCCTTAAGGTATTATTCTAATTCAATGTCTGTCCAAGTCCACGGGAAAACATCCAGAAGAGAGAGAGGAACATTCGGCCCGCTGACAACCCAAGAGAGCGCTACTACCTGGGGAGAAACCCCACAGATACCCTGCCTGCTGAAGATACCATGTGCAATAGAGCACCTTAGCAGGAATCCATTTAAACTAGCACAACCGATGCCAGGAAAACACCAGGTGCATGCGACAAACCTCAACCTGTGGGAATGATCGTGGGCAACGGTGCAAAAACAATTCTGAGCGGAATCTTTTCATTATTTCTCTCAACTCAAACTGGAACAAATTAAAATAACACAAGTCAGATCAGGTGGTTTCATATAACATAAATAAAACTGTTAGATAAAGAAGAAAGTAAGAAAGAAATCCCAGTTTTGCCAAGCAGCAAGTGATTCTCAATGTGAAAACTCATGGTCTTTGAGAACAAAAGTTCACCCAAAAGTGAATGTACTCACCTCCAGGCTATCCAAAAGAATAGCAAAACATTAGGAAGACTTTTAGTTTAAATGCTTAACCTTTCCCTCCTATAATGATATGTACTGTGATTTGTATAATGCAAATAAAAAGATTGCCACTCAAGTCAAAATAACATATGTGGGCAAAACAAAACTAGTACATGTGCCTCCTGATAATGTTAAGTGAAATGATCAGTCCTACTAAGGGACCAAACGTTATTTACAACATATTTACATCAATTCCAAAGCCTCAGAAAATGTTTCTAAGCTTCCTGACAAAAATATGTGGTTGCACTAACTTATGCACATGTGCTGATACCATTTGTTTACAATGGTGAGGGTCAACTGCCCCTCCAAAATTTAATAATTGACATTATGAGATATCAGAACTATTTACTGACATTGTCAATGAAATGTATCAATGCTGTGAATAGGCCTGCACAATATATTGCTTGAGCATTGATATCACAATGTGTGCATCCACAATAGTCACATCGCAAGATATGCAATGTTGAGTTATGAATATAGATGGCCAGAATCCACAGGTCCAAACACATGAAATTTGTGGAGACGCTGCAGAATTGAACTATTATAGAGATAAGGTTTTAAAAGGTTTTAAAGAATATAAAAAGGCTATATAGAATATAAAATAAATTTTACTGAATTATTTATATGATGAAGACTATGCAATGCTCGTTTACATTTGATAATTCAATTTCTCTACCTGAATACTGTTGGACACTCCCCAGATAACCATAAAGCTTTGTATTTTGTTTATTACATGTATATAATTAATTACATAAAATATATTTATATTTCACTCCCATATAAATCATCCCAATCAATCTAAAGTATAGACTTTACAAACAGAGCTATTTAAGTCATGTGGTGAAATTGTATTTATATCCCAATATATATTGCATGGTAAATAATAATGTAAAAAATGTACCATATCATGCAGCTCTAGCTGTAAATACTGCTCCCACAAAGACAGTTTTGCTTCGGAAGATCTCAGTGCATCATAAGGAACCACAATATTCATTTAATTTTGCCCTATATGTGTGTTTTGTTTTATTTTGACTGCCAAAGTGCCAGTAAACTATTCACTTTTTACAAAACACAAAGAACCACCACTTAAAATAAAAATTCTTCTTAATGTTCTGCTTTTTTTTAAAAAACAGTAACACTTCAGTTTAAGCACAAATTCCCACTCTTAAATGCTGGTACTTATAAAGTATGATCTTATTCAGCATCTCAAATACACAGCAATTAGTTCACTAAGAAAAAACTAGTTAATGGTTTGTTAACAGCAAGAATTGCACCATAAAATAAAGTGACCAAAAACATACTGTACATCTTGGTTAGCATGATGGTGATTAAAAGAACAGCAATGTTTTGATTTTGTGTGAATGACCTCTCTATTCTCTAACTTTATAAATGCAATGAACCGCTGCTCCACATACTGACAAAGCTTAGCAGAGATCACAGAGCGCCACTCATAAATACAGAACAAGAGCAAAACTAGAATGACCTTTATAATCCTACATCCTACATCATTGGGTTACTGTATTTAAATTTGTGTGATTGTCATTTTATGGCATAACCATGAAGCAACTACTAGTTAATTTTTAATTCCATCAGCTTGAAAGAGCATTCCCTCTACCACCTCCAAAAAATCCACTCTACCATATTAATCAACTAACCAGGATAATTACTGCACTTGCAATTAATACTGTGACCAATACATCGGGATAATTGCATTTTGTGGCAGTTGTGCCTTTCTCCTCTCTGCTGCAGCCGACATCTCAATTAAGACATTCGACTTACTGATTACGATTTTTATGTTTGTCTTTCATTAGCAAGTCCTGTAAAAATCAATCCTGACTGTGTCAACCTTCATGCACAGACCTACTTCTATTTAGAGGTAATAATAACTGGATGTCTGCATAACAATGCACTCAACATACGTCCACTTAAAATGCTATTCAAGCGGGATCACAAGCACACTTTAAATTACAATGTCTATTTCATAATATATTATCCATGTCATAATAATTAATTACCATGACATTTGCGAATTACAAGCAACATAAGATAAGCATTAAGTGCATTGTTGAACACATACAGTCCTACACAATTATGTATGCACAGTGTCATGATTCAGAATATATAGAAATAGGAAGTAAAACATGAGGTACCTAATGCCACAAATTATTTTGAAACGGTTTGAGTTAGGGCTGCATAATACAAAAAAAATCTGACATTGCAATATATTGTTATTCTTATTGTTAATATATATTGCAATCTGAATACAATTTCACCAGATGACTTAAATATTTCTATTTGGAAAAAAAATTATCAATTTGGATTGATTAGGATGATTCTGTATGGTAGCGCATCTGCATATAATCTAATAAGCACTCTATAAATACAATAAAGAAACAGATCGAATTAAAATAAACAGTACAATTTGCTGTCTAACAGTAATCAGGTAATTGAATAATAAAAATACACTCAAATTAATTACTTTTAAAGTTACAAACAGAACAATTTCTTATGCCTGGATGTTTTAAAATCACTATACAGTCACAGGCCTCAAAAACAATGCAAATGATCAATTATAATAGAAAATCAACACTGTATTTCATGCAATGTGACTATTGTGAATGATCACATATATAGCAATATATTGTGCATCCCTAGTTTGAGTCTTTTCAAAAAAGAATTTCTGTGCATATCTGTCTGTTTTTGAGACAGGTGAAGGACAAACAAAAAGGTCACCAGCATGGCACCATATGAAACTTGCCACAAAAAATAAAAATCTCAGTTTACTCACGGCAGTTCTCCTCATCGCTGTTGTCCGAGCAGTCATCATCATCATCACATCTCCAAGGAGTCGGGATACACCTGCCGTTCCTACACTGAAACTGACCGCTTTCACAGTCCAGATTAGTTCCTGTCATATAAGAAGTTGGAGTTAAAAGCAGTGCATGGGATTAAATTATAACCAAGTAATAACCATAATAACTATTTAAATCCTTTGAAACCCACAATCTTTAAAAGATTGTCACTTACATGTGTTGGACATATTTTAAATTAAAGATACATATTTAACTGTTGTTTTAACCCATCCAACACTGCCAAATGAATTCCAAAACAAACTGTTGGGAGTCATTCCATTATTACACATTCATATCTTCTGCACATTGTACATCCCAAAAAAAAAAAACTTCAAAAAGATCTGAAGCTAGGGTTATTAGGAATCACGTTATAATAAACACATTTGGAACATTCCTGGCAATAGTTTTTTTTAACGATTTATACTTTAAGTTCTGTGAACAGCTGTTTGACAACACTGTTACAAAAAATCTACGTGCACGTGCAGTATGACAGCTCGCTGTAAATATATCGTAACCCATAACTGGTAGACGAGAAATGGCACGTGTGCAAAAGCAATTATTGTTATGTATGAATGACGCTGAAGACATTCAATGAGAGTTAAGTAAGAGTGAGTTAAGCACGTATGCATTGCTTTCAATGGTCCACTACAATGACAGACCTTGCTTGAAGAATATAGACGTTACTATTATTACATTATTGCTTCGTGCTAGTAAACCTCCCCGCTAGCACGGCAAGACAAAACAACCCGCACGCGCACCAGACTGTCGTTTCTTTAAAACCCCAGCTGAATCAAGAGAATTGCGCGATTTAGCGCTCAAATGAGGTCTCGTCATCGAAAGTAGACGCACGCGGCTGCGTCGGTGTTTCTACAGCATCATTTACATTCATAACAGCGGGCTGTCAGCGTGAAACAGACACTCACCGTTCACCACCAGAAACCCCACGAATAGCCCATGTAGAAGCAGCAGTTTCCCTATAGCCGTCCACATGTTCACAAATCAAGGCTTTGTGCTCATACGAAATATAAAAAGGCCGTGCTGTACAGTCTGTAGCTCCGGTCTCCGTGCAGCCTGCGATCTGACTCTCCACAACCTCCACTCCGCTTTCGATAGCAGTTTGAATTGATGACGCCAACGCGGATAGGCGGGGTCGTGCGCGATGACTCGACCGTGTGGGCGGAGTTAGTGTTGATAAATTAAACAAAGCATGTCATCATCAGCCAGCACATCTTCAATGAGCGGACGTGCCTGGTGCTGTAGTAGTATAGACGTTAAGTGGTATTGTGCTGAAAAATGCCATAGAAAACATAAACAGAGTTGATTCTTGAATGTTTGGGGTAATATTTCATTTTTAATTAAAATGTAACTTTGAAGTTGGAGTTAAACAGAGTGTTTATGTGTATGCCCGTGTTGTGTATTTGCATGTGTTTGGGCAGTTAAAATTTTCAGATATCTCTGCAATATTCATAACATTTCCCAGGCGCGTAGGCAGCCAGGTAAAAGGGGTGGTTCTTTATTCTCAAAAAAGTGGACCTTTCTGCAGTTGTTTGCCTCATTTCATATTTAATTATGAGATTTAAATGCTAAATTTAGGTGACATATTAGGTATTATTTTAGCTAATTAGCTTGTCGGATGGTCATCATAACTGAAAAAAAGTATAATAAAGAAATATGACAAATTGACAAATATATTGCATCATATATTATCAAAAAAAATCTAATTTTTTTTCTTATTATTATTAAAAACTGTAGCTGGCGACGCAGTGGCGCAGTAGGTAGTGCAGACACCTCACAGCAAGAAGGTCGCTGGTTCGAGCCTCGGCTGGGTCAGTTTCTGTGTGGAGTTTGCATGTTCTCCCTGCGTTCGGGTTTTCTCCGGGTGCTTCGGTTTCCCCCACAGTCCAAAGACATGCGGTACAGGTGAATTGGATAGGCTAAACTGTTCGTAGTGAATGAGTGCGTGTGGAATGGATGTTTCCCAGAGATGGGTTGCGGCTGGAAGGGCATCCACTGCGTAAAAACGAGCTGGATAAGTTGGCGGTTCATTCCGCTGTGGTGCCCCCGGATTAATAAAGGGACTAAGCTGAAAAGAAAATGAATGAATGAAAAGCTGTAGCCTTTTGTAATTTGTTTGTTGTCACATTTAGCTTTTCTCAGTCAGAATGTGTTCATTTTAATAAAAAACAAATCTAAATATAACAAAACAACAATAATAATAATAATTTAAAGCTTCATGATTTTTCTAGCCTCTCTTGTAAAAAAGTACATTTGAAAATTAATGGATAACAATAAATGGAAAAATATACTTCAAATTGATTTTAATTTGGCCACTTTTGGTGCTTTACCTTTTAAATTGGTCATGTTTTCTTTTGAGAATAACGTCAAAGATTACGAATAAAAGGTCAAAACTTTTCTCTATATAAAAACAATGCAGTAGAGAAAGATGACTTTGCTTATGTCAGATGTTTTCTTGCACAGCTGGATGTTGGATGTGGAAAAATAATTGTTTGCATTGGCCAAAACTGATTAATCAGGATTTTGCTTGATTCTAAAACCCTTTTGGATGGGTTATTTTAACTATTTATGATGGCATAGCAGTCAAACTAGGTCCAGAATTCATAAGCTCATCTGTCCTTTGTCACTTAAAGGTGGGTCTTCCAAACCACTCGAACGCCCCTGGCTGCAGGCCTGATTTCTTAATTTTATAATTACAGTTATGATTAAGTAAGTTATGTTTTTTTTTGTATTTTTGTAGACAATTTATTATGGATGAAGTATTTTCAGAAATTTATTTATCTATTTATGTACAGTTGAAGTCTGAATTATTAGCCCTCCTGAATTATTAGACCCCTGTTTATTTTTTTCCCCAATTTCTGTTTAACGGAGTGTAGATTTTTTCAACACATTTCTAAATTAGTTTCAATAATTCATTTATAATAACTGATTTATTTTATCTTTGCCATGATGACAGTAAATAATTTTTCACTAGATATTTTCAAGACTCTTCTATACAGTTTAAATTGACACTTAAAGGCTTAACTAGGTTAATTAGGTTAACTAGGCAGGTTAGGGTAATTAGGCAAGTTATTGTATAATGATGGTCTGTTCTGTAGACAGTCGGGGAAAAAAATAGCTTAAAGGGGCTAATAATTTAGTTCTTAAAATGGTGTTAAAAAATTAAAAACTGCTTTTATTCTAGCCAAAATAAAACAAAGAAGACTTTCACCAGAAGAAAAAATATTATCAGACACACTGTGAAAATGTCCTTGCCTTGTTAAACATCATTTGGGGAAAAATTTAAAAACGAAAAGAAAAAATTCAAAGGGGGGCTAATAATTCTGACTTCAACAGTATGTATAAAGCTAGTTAGTTAGTTAGTATGCAAGTATAAGAACTCACATAAGAAAATGTATTTAAAGGGATAGTTCGGTGAAACTGAAAATTTTGTCATCATTTACTCATCCTTTACTTGTTACAAACCTGTTTGAGCTTTATTTTTCAGTTGAACACAAACAATACATTTTTAACAACATTTAATTGTGTTCAACAGAAAAAGGAATGGAACCACTTAAGGAGAAGTTTAATAAGTATATTTTCTTTTTTGGGTAAATTATCCCCTTAAAGAGCCGTCCCAGAAATCCCTGCAAGTCCCTGTAACTTTAGTCTATTTCATATAAAATCTTATGTTGCTTCCCATTACAAAAAATATAAGTGCACTGAAGTGTTGCATTATGTTGCATTATTTTAGATTCTGGTCTAACAGTCTGACTGGCATTATAAACAGGAAGCTGTCGGGGGTCGCTGCAGTATGATGAATTGTTCCCCCTTCTTAAGTCTGAATAAGAGAATGAAAAAAGTAGGAAAATGTGCAGAGAGAAAGAAGCTGAATGGTTTCTTCTCTCTGTTGAGAAGGCAGGCATCATCAGTCAGTTGTTTTCTTTTCTCAAGTCTTCTTTTTGATATAATCAATGGTTATACTGTAGCATCAGTGTATGCTAACTTACATATACATGTGAATTAGTTCATTTTCTGCTGTAAAAATAATCACAAATAGTGAAATAAAAGGATTACAAGCCAAATGTATACCTTTTGTGTGATCTGCATTCTAATTTTTGTGTTCTTTCAATTCAGAACTCTAATTTTACCTGAGCCATGCATGAAGTCTAAAAAAACTGGCTATTTTCTGTCCCCAACTTTCTGTTTCAATTAGAAATAAATATTTGCTAATTATATTAATTCTGCACACTACAAAAAATGCTTTTCTCATCTTGTCTTGTTTCTAGTTTAAATATCTTTAAAAATCTTAAATCAATAAGCTTTTTATACACAAGCAAACATATTGCTTCTTCATAAGAGTTTTCTTTTAGATATTTGGATTAGAAACAAGACAAAACTCCAAACCAAAATTACACAATCTTGAATACAATAGGTATATGTTGAATAAGTAATTAGCCTAAAATGTATGTTATACACTGTTGTACAAATTTTAGCAATTTTAATATGCCTTATTGTTTTTGTCATGAGCTATCAGCATCAATGTCTCCCTTCACTGCCATTCACAAAAGTCATATGCACACTGATGGACATGATGAACTGTTAAAAGTCACCAGAACAATTTTACCCAAGTATTTTATGAATATTGTGAAATCAATCATACTGTATGTGCATTGTTCACATTTTATGTAGGCTATTTTATGACTTCAGTTTTCTTAAGTTTTATGAGGAATTATTTGATTACTTTTGCATTATTTTTCTTCATACATTTTTCTATATTTCACATAATTTCTACTTTTCTACTATCATTTTAACATAATGCTAAAATAAGAGGTTTTTACATCTTTTCATCACCTAATAAATTAGATCATGCTTCAATGTATGGATTATTAATAAACAAGCTCCTCAATAAAAACATATTTATAATATGAAAAAAACATAAAACAAAAATGCTTTATAACTTTATAACTAGTCAATACATTTAAAATACACTTTGAAATATGTATTGTAGTTTTTGTATTTGCATCTGTCATATTTAATGAAAATACATAAAAAAATCTTTAATTAATTAGTTTACTTATATTATTTATTTATTTTTAAATAAAAATTTATGTAATTCACAGAGTAATAGAAAAATAATGTCAACAAAATTAAGAAGTCTAATGTAATCTCCACATGTCTGTTCGGGAATATATTACAGCATATTTAATTAGATAATTTACATGCGTGTGTAATATAAATGGACTGTCTTTTCTAACTATTTCTTCATTGGCATGAATAAATTTGTTGCAAACACCAAAATTTGGATTACTTGTGTCAATAGCATTCGACAGGTCTCTCTGTCATTTGGCAAAGAAAAATGCAAAACCGAAAAACGCTGTGAGAGTATCAGAACATAAGAGTGCAGGTCAGCTGAACAGCATTTTCCCTCTCTTTCAGTGGCAGAACTCGCCTAAACTGCCAGAACTGCTCGTTGCCAAGTTGCTGACCCAAAAAACAGAGAGATGTTTTGTCGATAACTGGCTGTTGGCCCACCAGCTATTCAGGTGAGAAACAGGATTTAAACATTAATGCATTAAAAGATATGACAGTGAAGAACTAGCTCTCTTCAATAACTTATGAGTAAAAACATAGACCTCGGCTTTGATGGAAATACACTATTTGATAACATTAATGTTTGATCATGTTTGCTGTTTGTTCAAATGACGTATTTAAAATGAGCTGAAACACAATTCTTGAGATTTTTTTTGGCACAACTTAATTGATTTATGTTTAATCCACTTAAATTTGTAGTAACTAATAAGTTGTCCCAAAACAAATCGATTGTGTAGAACCCAGCACCTCTTTTTAAATTGAAGAACTGTATACAGTACAGTAAGTTGTTGATATTCTTTAGCTTGTCTATTTTAATGTGGTTTGTATGTTATATTCTAGTTGCTGATGTTTAAATAGTCCAGCGATTAGAATTTAATGAGGCATTTTACACAAATCACCTC